CTCCACATAATCCAGCAGCAGCACAAGGAGCACGCACAGCGTGGGCACCAGCGAAACAGTGCAAATATAACGGAGATTCATGGCTACACTGACTGCCGGAATAGTTGTGTAATAATCCAAGACGAGATCCGCGGGCAAACGATTTGATTTGGCCAAGCGGCAGGCAACTTGGTGCGCTTAAAGTCTTTGACTGACTGAACCGACTGGGATCCGCTTGGCGCCGACGAAGCGCAACATAAAAGACAAAACTTTAAGCGCAAACAAAATATGGAGAGGAGACAGAAAGAGAGACAGAGAGAGAGAGAGAGACAGAGAGAAGTTGGCCAAACACCAGGTGTAAAATTCACCTGTGGTGTAAAGCCGACGGTATTCGACGTAACAAGGGGTATGTTTTGTGCGTTTAAATAGGAGTTCAGAATGAAGAGGCAACCCAGCAGATGGAGCACAAGAAAAGGAAAAACCCAAGAGAATCTACTTTTATGGGACCATTACATGATCAAGTCTGATCACTGGGTATCCACATAGTCGCTATAGAAACCGACGTTCTTTCCTCTTTTTTGCAGGCCAAGTTTATTTTGCATTTTGACCAAGTTTTGGTGCGGAAGCCAAAGACAAGTGAAAGTGGGGAGCGGTGAGGTGCGTGCACAGGCCTAACTAGCCAAACCAGCTTCGATTGCCCGACAGTGTTTACTGTAGCACTCTCTTAGTCCTCCTCTCTCTCTGGTCGCTCTTTTAGTGTCTGTGTAATTATTAAAAGTTATGAAATTTGCCACCTTAAGACTCTCATTAAATGTCTTAGCATTGGCTTGACTTGGCTCATTTCGTTTTCCTTTTGGAATTTCTGCTTAAATTTTTCGCTTCTTTTTTGTACTGTGTGTTGCCTTGCATATCAATTACTTAATTTACTGCCTCGCCGGTCGCTCCATTTCCGTCTATGTGGGAAGAGGTGCGAAGTTTCCTATATAGAAAAGCGGGGCTGCTAATGAAGCAATTTGTTTTGTGCACATTTTAGAGTAGGCTTGGGGTCAAAAGTTTGAAGCGTTCGACTAGCAACAGCAGGAATTCCCAAGTGGAACGAATCGAAAGTGAATTTTCATAGCAGGGCTGGCATGGAAAGCGATTAGAATATTTACATGCTTGTTACAAGAATCTAGAAAATACATTTCCCATCGTGGCTGATCTAAATAAATAAATATATATGCCCAGTGTGACCTTAGGCTTTTTATATCCGGCGCTTACTCGAATACCCTCATTTCCTCTCCCAAAAAAGTTTCACTGCTCATTCGTTCCATCATTACACTTGCTTATAATTATCAATATAAATAAATAAATTAGCTTATTGAAGAAAAGAAAATAATCCAGAAGCTTGTCGTCTGCTGGTATCAAATTAAATATGATTGTAAAAAAAATTAGAACAGTTTTCTGCTGGTACAGAATAAAGCAAGACATTTTTGATTACAAAATAAATAAAGCTCTAAGCAGATCCCATACATTCCTTCGATCTGTCCCTAGTATTCCCTTGCCATTGTTTCAACTCAAAAGTTATGACTGCTAGAGCTTCTCGATCGATACTTCGTTATCGATCATATCCCGCGCTTCGGCACTTCCGCTTCATTGAAAGCACATTTTCAAAATGCTTTGGTCTTTGTATATTTGTCCTGTGCAACTTTACTTTCACACTGCCAAGAAACCATTTCGTATTCTTCGAGCCCATACGATTGAGGGTGAATCGGCAGAGTTGAAAATGAAATCGAAATACGACTATTCTTTCCGTTTGTTCACGATAACCAACGAAACACCAGAAGTCCTGCAGCACATTATATGCCAGCAACCATGGTTTGAGAATTTGAGCACACACCCAATATTTTTCGTGTGTGAATTTGTAAGCGATACAAATACAGCTCCAGGTGAGTAATAATAATAATAATAATAATAATATTAGAAGCTTAAAACTAAGGCTTTTCCCTTTTACAGATAAAACTGCTGATGAATCAGAAGAACATAAATAGTATTTAAGCTAATAACACACCAAAGAGTCGCAGAAAATACTCATTATTAAATGTGCATAAGCAAAAAGTAGAAATCAAATATTTCATTCTCATAGCTGCAATAGCGCAAAATGTTCTTTTATATATTTCGTTCTGTTCCCAGTGTGACCAAAGTGAGGAAAGTGCATGCTCTCTGGGTACACTGTTTCGTGTTTGTTTACAAAAGGAACACCGTTAAAAATTCAAATTTTCTTTGAAAGCAGGAGGACTGTGCTATTTCAGAGTGGATATGGAGCTTGGAGGCCATGGAGCATGGAGAAAGCACGACATTACTGGATAAGTCCGTTCCGGCGGGACAAAAATGCAATACAAAATGAAACCGTCTTCATTTAATGATCTTTTCTAGCCATACAATTGAATTTTTAACGGGATTAACGGGTTTTGTAAACAAACACATAACAGTGTGCCCAGAGAGCATGCACTTTGCACACTTTGGCCATACTGGGCACAGAGCGAAATATATGGCACTTTCTGTGGCAAGAAAATGTTGCAAGTCTGGGCTTATTGCACAAGCTGAAAGATCTATCGATAGTACTGATCTAGAACCCCCTGTAAAGAGCCATCGGGCACGTGTTACAATGTGAACATGGTACAATAACAATAAGTATTAAATGTGGACAGACTTTCAGCAAACATTGGAGAGATTCGAGAACTTAGTACAGCCGTTAGCTTTCTCTACTGTCTCTGATTGAATGAGGAAAGAATTGCTGAACGGGAGCATTAATTACATGCAACTCCAGTCAAACATTTTGGACACAAGAGAACGTAGCACCTTCTTGCTTAAAGTTTTTACACACATATGACCAGATCTACAGTTGGCCAATCCCCCCACCGTTCAGGTATTTGTTTGCCCAGCTATTTAGCACCGTTTAGAGCCAATCGAATGGGCCTAGTCAACAAACAGGCTGTACGAACTGACCCGAAGCACGTGCACAGCCATTTCATCTGTCTAATGAAAAGTATTTCTTACTTTCAAGTGAGCAAACTAAAGGAAAGGCCCATGCCTTAATGGGAAATCAATTGAATTGAAATATTTTACTCCATATATAACTGCAACAGAGAGTGGTTCAATCAGTCAGTTGGCCAAGCCAGAGAGACAGAGCGAGAGAGACTGGTCGGACAACCTCTGACGACTCCACTCACGTAGGCCACACGGCAACGCCGTTCGAGTTATGCAATCGAATGGAGGAGACAGAGACTCCAGGCACTCCAACTACCGCTATGGCAAAATGGCTCTTTCAGTGAATCAAAAATTGTGGCTTACATTTTATGCAGACTATTTTTTCGCTTTACCGTTTGGCGTTTCGCCTTTATTATGATTGGATTTAATTAATGCAGACTGGGAAATGGGGCTTTGCCCGCCTGCTGCTGTGGAATACCCGGACTTGGTGAAGGTTTTTGTTTTGTTTTTAATATAAATGCGGAAGTTATTAGTGCAAAGAAACAACCGACAGCTGACAGAAGTCTGGGACAATGCAACTGCAACCGAAACGGGGCGTACGATCCGATCCGGCACCTCTGCGGCCCATTGCATAAGCCAAAAACAACTTGTCAAGAGTCGAGCCAAAAAACAGCAAGCAGCGCGAGCCAGTGCCCCTGCGAGTTTGAGCCAAACACGGGATGGATTTGGGCCAGACACAAACAATGAAAGTTGAAGGCACGCAAGCAGCGTAACAACTACAACTACAACTACGAGTGGAATGAGTACATAAATACATACATATATATGTATGTTTGTACATTCGTACATTAAACGAATCTGACCCAATTTGATATTACACACAATTTGTTGGCATTTATTGTCTAGTTTGTTGCCAAATTGTACGTGTTTTCTGGGCACTCTTGGAATTTCTTTTATTTTTCAGGGCACCCAACCAAACACTTCGACTGATTCATCCACTCGGACAGTCTAAATGTAATAATTCCCTCTGTGATTTTTAATGCCACCATCAATATGTTTTGTCATAATTCAGCCATTTCGCTCGCATTCCCATGGCATGCTTTTTTTTCTGCCCGTTTGTGCTTTGAATACCCAAACGATCAATCGATGGATCGTCGAGGAGGCACATTTTGTAAACAGAAGCGAAATATATTCTAAATTTGTTTTGCGCAATGTCATTGGTTCCATTGCATTTGCATATAAAGTGCCCGAGCGATCCACCAATAAATTTCTGTGTTTATCGCATTCAAGGTGTGTGGCAGGGGGGCAATATTTTTGTACTACGCCTGAAAGTATGTGGATGGAAACGTCGGAGGGCTAAACAAAAGAGTGGACAAGTCCCGTGAAAGATGTACAAAAAGTGGTTAAGTTTTGGTAGTCGGAATTCTCCTCAGCCTCTTAGTATGAAGACACCATCGTGTACGTTGCGGGCGTGCCTTAGAAAAGAGGCCAAAGATGCATTGCTGCGAAGGGCATAAAACGATAGTTGATGGGAAAAAGCATACCCAGAGGTCCGTTATTCTTATAGTTATTGAAACGTCAGGGCTGCATATTAATTTGCATAATTTTTAGTAGCTTTTCTACCAATTTTCTACCAATTTTCTCCAACGTTCGATTCTGCTTTTGTTTGCATTAACCTCTCTGCCAATTTGTGTACAAATATTTCCTATATGTAGTTTCCGACAATTGCATGTTAGCAACCAATTTAAAACCGAACAAAAATGTTAGAAGCACGATCAAATTTCGCCCCGACACGCGTCCAAAACGAATGATTCATCTGAAAGCAAATGATTTGATTGCGTTGCCGACCTTCCGTTGCATAACAATTTCTATAAATAATACAATTTCAGTGTCAGCAGCAGGTTCATTTTGAACACTTCCGAGGCAGTCAGAGAGAGCTGCACTTGGGTGAAGCGATTAGCAAACCCAAATCACCCAACGGTGACAGCGCACAAAAGTGGAACGAGGACCGGTCATTAGTGGAAGCCCCAACATAGTAAATCTGTAAAATCAATGAACAATAAATGGTAATTTATTAACAATTACAGGAGCATCGAACTTATGCCTAAGACTGTGACTAGAGTCACATCACACTTAACTACTTGACTAAGCCTAGGACTCGCACAGCTAACAGCAGCAGCCACAGGGCGGATTGCCCTTCTGTTCTATACAGTTCTATTGTCACATCAGTCATGCCTTGGGAGTGTTTACTAAATAAACTTAAGGTGTAATGGGTCGAAGGGTTTATAAGGTAAGCGACAGTGAAAAAACATATGGTACAAAAGCTGAGGTGAGGTCAAACTAACTCTAATACTTAGCATATAAACAGAATATAGACAGAATGACAAATGATTTGCAGTTCAGATCACAACACGTGTTGGGCCTAGACCCTGACTTTGTAGCTCAGCTTCATGAGCTTCTTGGAGCTGATCGGGCAATTGGGCCACAAATTGGCACAGCCCATGGGTCCGCTCAGATTGTCTCCCGTGTGGCGCATCAGTTCACCCATGTGGGCGGCAAAATACCATTTGCTCGGCGGCATATTCATCATCCAGGGCATTGTCGGTGATCTGCGATGGAAAACACACAAACAAATGTTAGGCGGAAGTTTTAACCACAGAACAACTGAGCAAATGTTAAATATTATAATAAGGCATTATCATTGCACGCTCCGCTGGCGAGACTCGGTTTAAATTTCGCTTTCAGTAGTCAGTTTTTGTATCTGGAATGCCTGCCTCCTATATGCCATTCACCTTGCTGATGCTGTTGTTTTAGTGTGTAAATGCTGGCTAAGCTTTTTACATCTGAGTCTCGGCTCACCTTCGTCTCAAGTGCGAGGTTACCAGCTAAAGTTTGACTCGGTTTCTATGCTGAGCCTGTCTGTGAGGTAGGTTATGACTGTTGATCTCTGCCACTCTCTGTCTGTTTGTATGTTTATCTGTCCTGCACTTTAATCAGTAATTTCGGTTAATGGCTTTCAATCAGTCAAACCCTCTGGGGGAACCTGTTTCCGCAAATACTCAGTAAATTACTCACTTAGGGTTCGAACCGGTTGCCCTTAGCTGCAATTTTCTGATCAAACACTCGTCTAGTTCTGCCAACAAATGTGACTCAGATGGGAAACACTACACAAAAGGGTACAGATTTACCGATTTCATTTCATTTACCGACTTCTTTGTTAGTAAGTATTCTACCACTCTTGTTGTACTTTTCTTGATTCAAATTCTTCTGCAAGTCACTGACCAACTGGTTCCCTTCTGTGTCCATAAATTTGCATACATTTAGAGTCTTTGTTGCCCGAATATATGTCATGTATGTCCTCTCCCTTCCCTCAACTCACCTAATCAGTCGTAGCAGCTCTCTCTCCTTCTCGCTGAGCTGATACTCTGGCTTCGAGGCCAGTTCGCACAACATTTTGGGCAGACAGGACTCCTTGATGGTGTCCGTCAGCTGGGATTTGGTCTTCAGGCTGGCACCAGTCACCACAGCCATGCCTGGCTTGAGGGCAGCTGCCGCTGAAAACTCATTGAAGTCGTGCTCTAAAATAAAGTACAATAAAAATTAGTTTTTCAACAGTAATTATCCCCTTGGATTTAGGCATACTCAAGGCTAATTCGGATTTCGGGAACTGCGCAAAAATATTCTAATACGCGGGCGGGCTGATATTAAAAGCGTTTGTAATCAACAGACTAAAAACAATACTTTGGCATGCCAAACAATGACTAATAAATGGTCGTCAATCGTTTTAAACAAGTTTAAAAAGTCGTCAACAACTGGGTAAATTCAAAATAAAAATTCAAATACAAATACAACTTGAAATTGAGAGTGCTGCTAGCGCGTATTTATTCCTGTTTACTTATGTATTTTTTTGGTTGAGTGATCATCAAATATTTTCCTGCCTTTGCGCCCAATCAGCTGTTGCAAAAACTGTGTTCAACGCTTTCTTAATGACTCCTCCACCTCCGCCTCCGCCCCGGACAAGGCCAAGCCAAAGCGTTGAACTTTACTTTTGAATATTTGTTCAGTCATCCAAACACTGACTTTATTATTAATTATTAAATTATTTTGTGCGGCGTGCGGTTGAGGTGTCCGCCTGTCTGTCCGTCCAGTGGAATATTCATTCCCATTATGTTTTTAGCCGGCACGGAACGTTTTTGGTTGGAAACTCTTTTGAATGCGGAACCGTCGATGATGCAAAACCCTATCTATCTGTCTGCTGTCCTCTGTCTGCTGTCTGCTGTGTGAAAATCCATCCGAGTCTCCACGCTTGCTGTGATAACACGTTTTGAATTTATGTTGCGGGGCGGCCCCTCTTGGGTTCTCAGCTATCAAGTTTTTCTCATTGGGAAGTGCAGTCGGGCATGACTCGACTGAATTGTTTGTTAGTTGGTTATAAAAATCGGGTTCTACCAATGTTAAATGTTTTTTAAGCGTGTTCTTGGTTAATCCCTGCTGGGTTTATGAGAAAAAAAGTCTGGTGGAAACTCCATTAAAATAAACTTCAATAAAATAATGTTCCAGCTTGCATTCTGGAAATTAAATTCAACTGAAATATGTACAGCTGCTTTTTGGGTTCTCTAATTGAACAAAACCTGTTAATTAGCTAATCAAGTATTATCTGTAGCCTTTCAGGTTTTCGGAGCTAATAAATTGTTTTATAATTAAATGAATGGAATTCCTTTAAATTAATATCTGACGCAGTCAAATAAAATATTGAAGACTCTGCTAACATTACTTTATATTATCTTTAGGAGGATCTAGAAAGGGGACTTGGCTGGATATAAATTAACTGGCAGACTACCAAAGGGAAGAGTGACTTGAAACCCAACGAGCTGTCGGTCATTGAGTGATTTTTTCATCAACTCTGCAGTGGATTGCCCTGCTCCCAGAGCTCTTTACCAATCATCTGTTTCTGGGTCTTTCTTGTTGGCTCCGATTGCACGTAATTGAATGAAAATACACATACAAATTGAAGTGGCACATTCATTCTGCTCTCTGCATTGCAATCACGTAGTGCAAAAATTCGGATACAAGAGGGGGAACGTGCTCAGCGCGTTGCAGAGTGAACGGTCGGACCGTTTAACACAATTATCCAAAATATAATTATCATATAGAGGGAACCTAAACACTCACTCTCGATTTCCGTTGAACTCGTTTCCAGCCGAGAGGCAACTTCAACTCTTCAGTGGCAAAAGATTACGTATGGAACCGGTTCTTGTCCGTCTGAATATTTTCCAAACCCAAACCCCTAGACCCAAGCGGACTTGCCTTAGTTCTGTTCGATAAATTAAATGTCACAAATCAAGTCAAGTTTTTCTTCAACTTCCTGGTTGCGTTGGTCAGTTAGAAAAACTAAACTGATCTTTGGAATACAACCCACAACGGGTTAATAGCCATGGCTAACATATAGCAGCTCTATCTACCCGCCTAGCTATCATGCCTAATCAACTGCTGGGCTCTCTGGGAAAGTTGAGCTGCAATTTAAGATACTCTCCTCCCTCCATCATCCATCAGCACTTTGGCATCTCATGCAAAGCGAAAACTTGTTGCTGGCTACGGGTTTTATTGCGTCAAGTTTATTTGCCTGGGGTTTTTCCACTTTCACCTCAACAGAGCACAAAAGAAATAACAAAAGAAAAAAGCAAAACCTTCATTAACTAGCAGATGGTACAAACATTTAAACGAAGAAATTTGAGGAATGGTCGAGGGGTTTCACAGTCAAAGAACTACTTATTTTTGCAACTGTTTTGGTGTAATATTTCCTTTTGTTAGTTGGTTGAAGTGCTCTACAAAGTACACGTAGAAGGTGGCAACTAACCAGCTTCAGTTCTCAGAGCGTCTGTCGGGGGTTAAGGGTTTTCTCTTCTAACTTACCTTACCCATTGACAGATCATTCTAGAGACCTCTTCTTCTCATTCCTCTTTGGGTTGACTTCTTTGCGGTTTATTCTCCTGCGGTTAAATCTTTCCTTTAGGTTTGGGCATAATTCTACGCTCTTAAGTGAAGATTCTCCCTTTGAATTATTTAGAGAAGAGTTTCAAACAAAGCACACCTAGACTCAAAGGAAGTATTATTATAATGGTTACATATTCAAATGGATCAACTTTTATTCCATATTAAAACTGAATTTCGACCTTTCTGGACCTGCAAATGCATTCCAAATGCTTTATCTTCCTGTTTGCATACAGTCGCGACCTCAAGCACTGAACTCTCTGACTTTCCATTAATTCGATTTCAGTTTTATTGTCTCTTGTCTCTGCCATACTCGCGTTTGGAGTATCTTTTTCCGGGTTGCCCTATAATCGTGAGCATTCGTTGCATAATGCCACAACATGTGTTTGGGTCGAAGACTCTTATGTCGTTCGGTTTGGTTTTATTTATGCAAATCATCGAGAAAGTTGAGTCTTCTTCAAACCTTCGCGTTGGACATGAACTTCGATTGTGTTGAATAATAATTTTGCTTCAAATTTGCATGGGCAAATAACCCAAAAACGAGGGCAAATGAAAGTTATAGAGATGGAAACAGGGACTGAGAATGTACCTAAGACAGCTACAATTTTGGTAGATTTGTTCTCATACAGAGCATGAAGTCATAGCACTCCATAGGCAGTCATCAAAAATCACTTAGTCATGGAATAAAATAAAAAACTTAATGACCCCCGCGTAATGGCTAATGGAAACTTTTGTTGAACTGTTAACTGTTTAATATGCCAAACAACATTTGAACTACAGGTAATGTTTTTTGGGGGTACTTAAAGCTCTAAACATTATCCACATGGAAGATTAGAAGTGCTCAGGGAATTGTTTTAGAACATGTTGAGGCAGTCAGTTGGATTTTTTTCACTACACTTGATAGAGGAACGCCACTAAGAAGGGATCGAAATAATAACTATTTTTTTGTAGCATTTAAATGTAAGACTCTGGCCACTCCACGTGCCACTAATCTCTACACGTACTTTGGCGAACCCCTTGACTAGTTTCCGGTTTTCACCAACGAGCTACACTAAAAAAAATGATAAAGAAAAAAGTATACTTAAACATAAGCCCGTGTGGGGGCTTACACGTGCCTCCGGGCCCATATTAATAGGTCTCCATTTGCAAAACGAAATTAACCTTGATGCGACCAAATACGAAAGCGAATTGTATAACAGAAACAAAAAATATATAAATATGCAATAAAATCGAACAAAAGTTCACTGAATTTTGCAATGCAAAAAATTACCAAACAATAATTGAAGGAAACAAAAATAAAAGAATGGCAAGGCATTTATGAAAATATCAATGCAACGACATAGAAATACACTTTGAAATGTTTCAATACAATTTTAGAGTTTGCTTGGTAATTGTTATCAACGGAATGCTTTTACAATCAATTATTTTCATAGTTATTTCCTCAACTATTTAATTTCATGGTGCTCTAATTTGTTCTGTGTTCCATTTCCAAGTTCCAAAAAGAAGACTTTTTGCTAGCGTGAATTAATTTTCTTTTGTTCTAGCGATAATAAATACTGCCAGAAATATATATTTACTGCTCAAAATGATATACCCCATGAACTGAATTATTTAGCTAAACATCCACACCTAAATAAATAATTAAATATGTATTTTGATGTAAATAAATTTCGGTATCTGTTGTTATATTTAATACCCAACAATCCCAGAAAAAAATGTATTTGCTAGTGTTCAAAATAAATACAACAGGCCCAAAAAAACGAGCCTTCAGCCAGCGTATGCCAAGATGTTAGGGGAATTGCAGAATATAATTTAATTTGCCACTCACCTTCGGTTATATCGATTTCGGCGCTCTTCGACTGCTGGAACTTGCTGGCTGCCGCAGCCGCTGGACCCGTGGGGACACCAACGCCGCCACCAGCTCTGGCCGCACCAGCAGCAGCGCTGCGTACGCCCACCGAATGGGGATCGCTGTGGTCAGACTTCATGCCGCCGCCATAGCCAAAGAGATCGCCCACCAGCAGCAGGGAAACGATACCAAAGATCATCAGACGGCAACGCCAGGCGGTGTCCATGATGGCCATAATCCAAAAAGCGTTCACGATAAATTCACTCAAACACGTTGCACAATTCAATCAAAATGTTATATATTTTAGCTCGACGGATTGACTGACTGACTTGATTTATTTTCGATATGTTAGCACCTTTATTTTGACACTTTTTTCAATGGCAAGCGAAACGTTGAGCTGCGCGCACGAAATGAAAGTCGATGGAAAAACGAAAGTCGCACTTTTCCAATGTTTTTATATTTTTAGTCGAACATGCAAAGAGCGGCGGCAATTAAATTTGGCATTCAAGCGCATATAGCATATGGCTTGTTGTAGTAACTGCAAACCCGAAATACTCGCCGCACACTTATGTATTCAATTATATCTATTTATGTACACAAAGAGAGAGGGAGCGGGAGGGCACGCGAGATCGGATTAATGTTGGGATTTAACTCCGGTTGTGTATGGAACGCGTCCGACTCGACTCTCAGGCGGCTTGCCACTGAAAGCCACAAGCCAAGCTGCACACAGAAGAAACCGTGGCTGTGGCTGTGGCTTACCAACCGATCGAACAGCTGTTTGTGAGCGACAGAGAGTCGTACCTGTGCAACAGCTGTTCGCCAGAGAGAACGCTACTCGCGCGAGCGGCCGACTCTAGCTGAGAGAGACAGAAGCGCTTACCTGTTGCTGCGTACGCTCACTTATCGCACTCACTGTGCGCAGTCCATCATATGTATGAAATAAGGTTCGAGACTCAAGTGAACGTAGACTAGTCGGACTGGACAACTTGCAAGTTCGACCACCCGAACAGGCCAATGACCCACCCATGGGGACACAACTTAGGTATGGGGCAATTCTTTCGACTTTAAAACAATTAACTATTCAGTGATTAGGAGGCTTAAAGTAAGTGCTAATTGTAAGCAACTGCTGTGGCTATCGAAGGAAAATAATCTTTTGTATTTCCCTTATGTTTATCTCTCTGAAAAGGTTCCTTAAGTACAGTCGCAACTCTTACTTTTAACACAGAGTAGCAAATCTTTTACCTGCCCAGTGTTTAGGCCATAATTACCAAAAAATTCGACTCGAATGCATCATAAAAACCCACTTACAGAAGTTGCCAATATTTTGGGTGAATTTTCACAACTTTTACTGCAGGTATGTGCCCGGACAGCTGCCAATTGAGCAGGCAGAAAGGTCAACGAGAATGATTTATGACAAGGCCAACGGTGCGTGGAGCATCTCTCAATTGCAACCAGTCAGAGTCTGTGGGGTGCCACATGTTGCAACAGCCAGCCAACAAAAAAAGAAGCCACGACCAAGTAGAAAAACAAGAAGCCGCGCCAAGTGAAGTAATCGAACGGGTTAAAAGCGCAATCGGAACGTGACTTAGCCGTGGCCAGTGGCCAGCAAACACATCGAAAAAAATTGATCAAATTAAAGGTAACAGAGACAACTTTTTCCTCCGCCTTTTTGGCCAAATTGCAGCCAAGTGTGTAGTGCAGTCGAACGCCTAATGGCCTCTGTGTGTGTGCCACTGGAAACTCCATTTCGGAGCAGCTGCAAAACGCGACTCACCTCGCTCGACTCACGCCGTTTGCTTTGCTTGCCTTCAAATTGCCACCGCTGCTGTCCTTCAATTGCAGCTACGCCCTGGCCCCAAAATAAAACAACAACTGAGAGAACTTGCAGCTTAAACAGAACTGCGAATACCCTATACAAGTCTGCGCAAATGGATAAAAAGAGAGCGAACGCCTGCTAGGCTGAAATGCTCAGATATACAACACCTTTGGGGCCTTTAAAAAATGTTTGAAATGCTTTGGCTAGTACAAAGTTTCATAGCTAATATTCCCATCATTAAGGTAGAGTATGCAGAGAGAAATAAGTACTCGTTTATACAAAAAGAAAAACATTTTGCACCTCGAAGGTTAAGCCGCGCAAAATGAACGCCCAAAGAAACGCCAAGGGAGAACAATAAAAAGACAACAAAAAAAAAGACTGCGACTTCGACTTCATAGCTGTCTGTCTTCTGTCTTCTGTCTGTTGTCTGTTGTCTGTGCAACGGAGCTTGAGAAGGTATGTAATTTAAATGTATTATTTATACTTCCACATGGTACACATCTCGCAAGAGGTTCAAGAATTAAACACAGAATTTGCAGTTGCAGAAGATGTCTTCAGAAATTCGCTATTAAAACTTGATTAAGGCCACATGCGAGATAAATGTTTCCACATGGGAAACTGGTTCTCCAATCTGCAATTATTTTGGTCATCATTTAGTTACAACTAATGTTCTAACCTTCAATGAAAATGAACCAAGAAATTCAATTCAGTTGCTGCAAAATGACCTTAAATGAGCAGAAATCTTTCAGCTAAATCTTTCAGAATCATGCGGATGCCAATAACTTGTCATTCTTTACTTATTTTATTGTTTGTTTTATGTTTTTTGCTCTTTTGTGTTGCTGCTCAACTTTCGTTATCTTTGTTCACGCCAGACCCCAGTTTCAATTTGTTCTACAAAAGCCGAAAAAAAATTCACTCTGTGACTTGTATTTGTTGTGAAACTGGTTATTTTGTTGGCATTTACTGGAACATATTTTTAATATTTGTCTAATTGAAAGACGGCAGTGGTCTTTGCAGTTTGAAGCGTCTTCCCAGCACACTACTCACCGAAGTGATCGAGCTTCAAACAGCTTCAAATTCCTTCATAATAAAATGGGGAAAAATAATAGAGATACATTTAAAAAGCAGCTTAAAAAGTGCTCAAAATAAATGCAGAAATTATTGTACCTCTTGTGCATAAATAATATTATTAAATAAATAAATAAATGTTCCATTTTTCTGCAAATCTAACTCATTGTTTTCCTAACCAACTGCTAAATTGTAATGAAATCGAATTGCATCAACGCTTAGTAATTAAAGACATTTAATACATTAGATTAAGAAATGGTTAAATTGCCTTGTCAATTAAATTAAGTTGAAGCAATAAATAGACGCGAAATACGAACGCCCTCACCCTGTCCCGAGCGCAGAAACGGAAACGGAAGCGCCGCCACGGCACTGGCTGTGGGGTTTTTTACACGGTATTCAGGGCATGACCTGTGAGCTGTAATGAATGCTTATCACGAATTGGAAACTAATTTTAAATTATAACAAGGCTCGCAATTGAATTTTCCATGTGTTTACATGATTCATTTATTTATTAATTTTCTTGGATAATACTTAGGTATCCCTTTGGTCTAAACATCGTCGCAGGCTTTAATTTTCCAAGGCTGGTATGGGGTTATACGAGCCAACACCTTGCAGAGACGAAAACCTCAGCGCAGGAAAGACACCGCCCGCGGCGTGTCCCAGCGTCCGCCATTTGCATCACAATTTAATTTATGCTAAACGCGTCCGCCGTCTTTGCATTTAATTGTGAAATTAAATTTGATGCGACTAATGTTGACACAACATGCGATTAGTGTGGTGTGGCCCGTGCACGGCATATCCTTGTGGTTTGCCCCTTGGGTGCGCTTCGATGTGGAGGAAGAGGCAGCGATTGGCCTCGGCCAATCGACTTGCATTTGCCAAATTATCATAGTCGATAATACTTGCAATATTCGATGGCAGGCGGCGATGTCAACGTGGACAGGCAGGCACCCAACATAAACAATAATTAAATGTAGCCAAATTAAATTTTACACAAAAGCAGAAACCCAAAGTGACAGCTGGGCGGGCACTTTCCGAAGAGCCACCTCAACCTCAACCTCAGTCTCAGTCTCTGTGTCTCTCGGCCTCCCAGGACTTTGAAATGTCTGCATAATTATGTGGTGCATGTGGGTGGTGGTCGGGTTGGGTCTGTCGTGGCTGATAATATGCAGTTTAATTACAGAACACCAATGCCCACAAACAACAATAATAAGGGGCACAAGTGCAAGGGTTCAAGGAGTCGTTGCTGCAATACTCTATATCAAAGTTTGAAATCTTTCAAGGAAAATTAGTTTCAATCTGCTATAAGCACTCCTACCCTTCGTAGCTAAGCTGCTCTGTGAGAGAGACATTCCTTTAACTCGGCTCAACACAAATAAAAGAGTATCTCATGGATTTGTCGTACATTTTCTTGCATAAATTCAAATTAGATTGAACTCTGCCCAGAGGAAATGGCAAACCCCAACCCAGGTGGAAAGGGGCCACGCATCACTTTTAATTTTCCATTCAAGACAATGTTCCTTCGTGGTCCTGTCAGGTGCATAACTGTATTATAGCCACACATGTACATGGGTATGTGTATATGTGCACATTCGCTGTTTATTGGCATCCATTAGATAATGGAATTTATGTGAAACATTTGTACGGCTTCGCTTGGGACTTCAAAGGGTTATTGTGTCACTTTGTCCAGTTAGTTGTGATTAGGCAAGTCTGATAAGAGCGGAGGATTACTTTGGGAGGGAGAGTAAGCTTTAAAATATAGTTGGAAGAGAGAAAACACACTTTTAACTCTTCATTTTATTCTATTTGCAGGAGAACAGTTCAAAAATATATTCATGAATATGGGTTCGTGTTCCTGTTTCATTGCCACGTTCCACACACTTGGTGCATCTCAGATAATTGCCAGTGGAAACGTTTTTTTAGCTGCACGACTGAGCAAAGTGAGGAACAATTAGAAAACTTTTATTAAATTTCCTTTGCAAATTGATGTGCCACAATCAAAATAACGAGAATATTGAATATCTGTTTCTATAATATCAAATAAAATTGCTCCTCGGCAGAGACTTGCATAATTTTAATTAAACTCATATTTATGTCATTCATTTGCGTTTTTCATTCCAACAAAACTCCATACATCCCAGAGACAGCGGGGAATTGTTGACCAGCAGAAATATTATTTTTCAGTCGAGTCCCATCCGTATTAATTACAATTGTTTCTCGCTCTCTCTCTCTTATTGTATTTTTTGTTTTATTTTCACTGTCCACTGTTGACTTTTTGTGTTAATTAGTGTAAATATATGAATGCCGGAGATGATTGCCCCGCCTTTTTGCCTCTCTATTGAAGTGGCAGCGAGTTGAATTGGCAGCTGGTCGAGAGGAAGACCAGCAACAAAAGACCCAAACAGAGTATCAAATGGTGAGTTTTCCCTGACAGTCAGGAGTATCATTTATAAATGGGACGTGTGTGCGCTCTATGCGTAGTGAATGATAATTAAACAAAAACTTTATAATTAACAAATATGACAAATTGACAGCTGATTGGGGGATGTCATCCTTTTGCCTTTTTTTCACAAATGCAAGTTTCAATGGGGTTTTTTTTTTGTATTTATGCAACTGCTGACAGTCGATTAATTTATTAATATTTAGTAGC